TGTATAAGGAACTGTACTACAGACACATCTACGCTAAAGTCAGCGTGAGTAACTACTCAATAAAGACACATCAATCTCCTGCTTGACTACTGGGGAACCTCATGTTCAGTATTTTGTTGTAAATATTGTTTTCTTGATAATCAGGGTGGGCCGACTTTGGATCAGAGGTTTGAGTCATACTACAATTACTGCAACCTCTTCAACTACATTCTCAGTAAGTCACAAGAATGTTCCTTACATTTTTCTCTCACCTGCAGTTATTGTTGTAAAACAAGGGTCAGCAAATAAGTCTGGCATCGGGTAAAAAATTTTTCAAGCATTGACATGGCGGGCCAGAACATTGTCAAATTATTTCAAATACCTAATGCTCAGTTGGTAGTGAACAGAACTCCTGTTGGGAGGGTAGTAAGATTGATCCCAAATTACGGCGGGTATTTCTTTTGTCCCTTGTTAAACAAATTGATTATAAGGACACTTTTGCACATGCTCACAATAAAGCATGTGCTGCAGTATGTGTGCGCGTACCGGCGTATGATCCTCATTCATAAACCTATGGATGCTTATTTTCATTTCCCTGAGGAAATTCAGGGGAATCCAATCACACGTTTACTGACTGCTTTTTCAGAGGTGTGTCAAGCAAGCCACAGACTCTTTTGAATGTCCTATAGAACGTTTCAAAGTAAAAGCTCTCAATAAACTCGATATAAAGCATTGCTGCACAAAATCTTGTCACGCTTTTATTTTGGAGGCAAAATCCCTTACGAGTAAGTTATTATGTGAGTAATTGTTGTCATGACTAAAATCTTTTTAAGCACCAGACGCTATCAATTTATTTATTTTTTACTTTTCTGCTGTCAAAGCAATCTGGCCGTCTATTGCCGACCACTGGTGTAAAATAAAACCTAATAAAAGACGAGTCATGACAATGTCTGATTGTAAACAGATGCTGATGGCCCCGCCCCCCTGGAGCTGCCAAACCAGTGGCTCTGGGACATCATTGATGAGTTCATCTACCAGGTAGAGTGCATTACATTCTTTTTTTTTTTTTTTTTTTTTTTATATTTATCCTAAGTTAACACGAATTGTCCATAACAACAAGACAAACACGAGTAAGAATCCGTGATAAAACACCACGTAAAATAGTAGTTGCAGAACTTTGGTGTTTTAAAAAGCACTTTCCCATAATTTTCATTCTCATGTAACAGCCCACACAAAGTTTGTTTAAATGCTTATAACATGGATATGGGAATTACCCTCTCCTTTCTCCAGTTCCAGTCCTTCAGTCAGTACCGCTGTAAGACAGCCAAAAAGTCAGAGGAGGAGATTGAATTCCTGAGGAACAACCCAAAGATCTGGAACGTCCACAGCGTCCTTAACGTTCTTCACTCCCTGGTGGACAAGAGCAACATTAACCGCCAGCTTGAAATCTACACCAGTGGAGGTAAAGAAGAATGTTTTGGAAGGAGGGGAGATCATTTGAATCTAGAATCTTTTAAAATTAAAGGCATTGCACCTTGTTAAAAGCACAGTTTAGATTCTCTGTACATAATCATTTGTTGCTTTTCTGGGGAGAATGTAAACCTCAACATGTAGACTTAAATGTATTCAGTTTTTATACGAGGCAGCTAACATGTTATTTGTTGGCTTGTTGCAGGAGACCCAGAGAGTGTGGCCGGAGAATATGGGCGTCACTCCCTATACAAGATGTTGGGTTACTTCAGCTTGGTGGGGCTCCTGAGGCTTCACTCTCTGCTTGGCGATTATTACCAGGCCATCAAAGTCCTGGAGAACATTGAGCTCAACAAGAAGGTGAGGCCTTATTTAGAGCACCTAATGCTTGAGTACTACTAATAATGATACTTGAGTATGATGATGATGCTGAGTCCTCTGTTTATTTTTAACAGTTTTTTCAGTATTTTAAACTTGACCTGTCATCACTTGGTTTTATGCTGCATCTGATTGTCTTTTCTTCTGTCTTGTCCGTACTTTGTATCTATTTTTGTTTCCTATCTTTCAGAGTATGTACTCCCGTGTGCCAGAGTGCCAGATCACCACCTATTATTATGTGGGTTTTGCCTACTTGATGATGAGGCGCTACCAGGATGCCATTCGAGTCTTTGCCAACATCCTGCTCTACATCCAGAGGACGAGAAACATGTTCCAGAGGTCAACTTATAAATATGAGATGGTCAGTCAGAGCAGGCTTTTTATCTTTAGTCTACCCCCCCATATAGAACATGTTCATAAAATTATTTTTTGTTGAACTGTTGTTGAAACAGATATTATTATACTTGTCTAATGTGTTTTTTAGATTAACAAACAAAATGAGCAGATGCATGGCCTGCTGGCTATCGCTCTCACCATGTACCCAATGCGCATTGATGAGAGCATCCACACCCAGCTGAGGGAGAAGTACGGAGACAAGATGCTGCGAATGCAGAAAGGGTGAGAAAGAAACTTACTGCAGTATTTGAGGTCCAGTGTGTATCTCACTGTATTGCTATTTTTTTTTATTGCCTTTATTTTATTTGTGTGTGTCCCGTTACGACCTAAAATAAATTTTTTATATTAGCCAGACAGTCCTTTTTGATTCTTAACTGTTATGATAATCTAATGTACAAAGAAACACATGCATCTTATTGCTTGAGGTTCTGAGCACTGGGCCAGCTTATAGCTCCATTAAGGTTTTGCGTAGTTAATTAATAGTAATTTAGTACTAGTAGTATTTATGCCCATCCTGCACCTATACTGGATGTCTGGTGGATGTCTGTAGTACACTATCAGTAACTGTGGCAACACACGTTCCCTTTTCCATCTCAGAGACCTGCAGGTGTTTGAGGAGCTGTTCAGCTTCGCCTGTCCCAAGTTCCTGTCTCCTGTGGTGCCAAACTATGACAACGTCCACCCCAACTACCACAAAGAGCCTTTCCAGCAGCAGTTGAAGGTTTTTGCTGAGGAGGTGCAGCAGCAGGCCCAGCTTTCCACCATTCGCAGGTAGAGTATGCGTGTGTGTGGCTTAGTTAAACGAGGCCCTTTGAGGTTTTGTTGAAAACAGACAAGTTACATTCAGTTTTTCCCACCAAAATACATCCTGTGTGTCATGGAGGGATAACACACACACGGACAGTGCACTTCCTTCCTCATTAAACCTTTACAGTATTTTGTATTCAGCAGTGTTTACGTCCACGTTCATTAGATTGCTGTTTTCATCTCCCCTGCCTTTGCTGTCACATTGCTGCATATCTTGGCATGTTACCACCCCCTGTTGATCAGTGGAAAAGTGTGACACCAATTAGTAGGACTGTGTATCATGTCACCCACACTCAAGCATGCATGATATAAACAAATGGGGATCCACTTGACAAAAAACAGGTACATAGCACTACTAGAGGTCTAAAACTCCAGAGGAACCTTTAATTTATACTTTGTATGAAGTGGAATGTAGACAAATACATTTTGGATGCAATTAGGAAAAGGAAATGTATTGAATTAGTCTCCAAACTTCACAAAGTCATAATGTGTCCTTGCAGCTTCCTGAAGCTGTACACCACCATGCCAGTAGCCAAGCTGGCAGGATTCCTGGACATGACCGAGCAGGAGTTCCGTATTCAGCTGCTCGTCTTTAAGCACAAGATGAAGAACCTGGTGTGGACCAGCGGCATCTCAGCGTTGGAAGGAGAGTTCCAGTCTGCTTCTGAGGTCGACTTTTACATTGATAAGGTGTGTAGAAGTCTGTTAAATAAAAGTGATGTCTTTGACATCACATACAGTATAAATAGTATGTCGTGGGGGTGGATGGATCATGGTGAATGCCTCTGCCAAAAGCGCCTTTGGTTTAAATGATACAGTAGGTTCAGATGGATATTGTTATTTATACCTGTTATTTAGAGGTATTATAGAGTCACATGTGCATACGCTGTGTATATAAAACAGTTGAGAAAGTAATGTGAGGGCTTGATATGACTCCCTGTTGCACATTGTTTTAAGCAGCTCTGTATGTTTGATGACCTTTTTCTCTGTAACACACCCACAGGACATGATCCACATTGCAGATACTAAAGTTGCTCGTCGGTACGGAGACTTTTTCATCAGACAGATCCACAAGTTTGAGGAGGTGAGTAGTGATCCATCATGCCTCTGCCAAGGGCATAGGAATAGGAATTTCTATTTATTTTAAAGGAATCAGAAGAAAGTTGTTTCATTCAACAGGAAAAAAAGGTTTTAATTTTGGAGCCAGTTTGGAATTGAAAGTATTGTCACTGATACTAATATTTAAAAAACCTACAAAAAATACTCAGCTCTTTTAGTGACCAGTTAGCCTTCTCCTAAACTGTTTAATAAAAAAAAAAAACTTTAGTTGTATCTGTTGTGCCAATGACTGAAATAACATTGCCTCCATTTGCCTACAGTTGAATAAGACACTGAAGAAGATGCCAGTCAGTGGCTCTACCACTGTGGCAGCAGCAAATGCTTCAACCAGAGTAGTCTGACCAACAGCAGTGAAGGAGACCTCCGGGACTGAGTCCTCTGTCCCCTCAGTCTCTTCAAGTTTTTTGACAAATATTATTGATGAAAACTTTTCTATGTAACCTGGTAACAATAAATGGATGGAATGGTGTGCTCAAACACTTTTTTGTCACGTGTTTACTCTTAACCACTAGATGGCAGTATTTACCAAGCTGTCCTCAGGCTCAGACAGACTTTTTGAAAAACTGTATTATACACAGTAAAGGGAAATGACAGACATGCAATGTCAGTGCCCACATTACATTTGGAGGTTTGTTTCTTTTGCCAGTTTGTCTCTTAAAATTGTACCTGTGAGTACAATAGAAGTCAACCTTGCGCTAAGTCATTGTACTGTAATACCTATTGGAGGACAAATATTTAGTGTCATGAGTCATTAAGGTTTCTCAGATTTCCCATTAGTTTTTGTCCTGCTTGAGAGCATTCTGCTGCATGTGTGTAGCCGCTCTCCCACAACCAGACAGACCGAGGTCAAAGGCCGTTGCATATTTATTTTATTATCACAGATCATCCAACATTTCCCAGCACAGGTCTCAGGACAGGTGACAATAATGACAAAGAAATAAAAACATACAAAATGGGAATATAAAAAAATGAATCATAAAAACACACCACTCATCAGAAAACAGCATCAGTTGTCATATAAAGGAAAACCGAACATGTCACCATAGCACAACATACACATACTCCAAACATCCAAAATTATTACCCTACCTATTTTGGTAAGCCAGCATTTTTCTTCAAAAATATCTTAATTCCATCACATTTTTTTATTTTATAAAATAAAAAAATAAAGCAAACATTACTCATTTTGAGCTTTTTTAGTCCCTCAGGTGGCAGTGTAAAGTCTCTGTGGGCACAATGCCATCTTTATGTCTATAAAAATTGGATAATTCATAATTTCAAACCTTCATTTTTAAATTCCATCTAAGTCTGTACCCAGGTGTTCTTTCAGTACTTTTAATATCAAATTTCTCAGAAAAGATGCAAAGTCTTCTTCATGTGTCTCCTTTCACCAACTTCATCATTTGAGAAGTCTTTCAGTTATTAGTGGGGCATCTCCTTGTACATGACTTGACTTAGACCACTCTGGATCTGAGCTGGATCAGCGTCTGAATGTTCACTGCTGCCCTGCAGACCGGAGAGTGTTTTGTCTTTTTGCCATTGATTCGAGAGAAAAAAAAAAAAAAAAGCTCTTTCATCAAACTACTACCGTACTTTAACAATAGCACAATGGCAATGGCCCCTCTTTTTCTTGGTGTCAGGTGAAAACGCCACTCTATAAGCGTCACTGGGGGAAATATTTGAACTTCTAATGTCTGCGTTAAATGTCCATCTATAATTTCCCCAAAACAAAATGACAATCTGACAGAGGAAATTCTTACTGTCCCATCCGCACTCATTCAACACTGATGCATTGTTTTGCAAATAGAAAGAAAGATCAGGACATTATGAGGAATTGTGTCATGTTTTCTGTCCCATTGATGGCCATCCGCTGGTCTGAGTGTGTTTTGCGTCATTTTTTTGTGTGTGTTTGTGTTTGTGAGCGAGTGTATGAAGTCCAGGTATGACTTCTAAATGATTGGTGGAATGAGGCACATTTTGACTATTAAAAGGTCATGGTTCAACAAGCTTCTCCCACAGGGAGGCTTAGTCTCTCTTTTCCACTCAGCTCTTTGGATGAAAGTCCATGACACCAGTTGGTTTTGTCTCGCTGAGGAGAAGTGCTCTGATTTTCCTGTTCTTAAAGGTCAGTTGAACCTTCTCTAGAAGCACCTCACGTGAGACCATCTTCAACATGAGACCAACTCAAACCAACCCAATGGTGAGAAAGTCCTCTTGCAGGCTGTCTCACTGATGCACTGAGGTTGGCTGATGATGTTCCCTAGACTACACACACTCCTCACACTCCTCCCCAACCTTGTCACGGAGGCAGTGTAGAGGCACAAGAACACACACGAGTCATGGTTGTGCTCAGACCAGCGAGGCCTCGGCTAGTCATAACTCTGTGATCTCCAGGGGACTCTCCAGTAGGATGTCCCCGTCCTTGTGACGGTGCATAGGGGTGGACTTGGCCGACTCTGTGCGGGCGTTGCGCTCAGAATAAAGTCCCCCATCAGCGTTTAGTGCCTCCAGAGAACGTGCCAGGGCCCGCTGGTCGTCCTCTGGCAGGCTGTTTAGGTCAGAGGTCAGGAGGGTACCTGTGCTGCCATGGACCACGTGCACACCTTCAGGTCCCTTCAACTCCACAGGAAGCTTGTGCTTGAGGCGCAGAGTGCCACGTACCCCTCCTATGCCCAGATGCTCGTCCTCATCATCGTCCAGATCGCTCTGGATCAGCTGGAGAGGAGAGGGAGAGAAGAATGACAAGATTTTTATAATTAATAAACCTACTGATTAATACATTTTTGGATCAGGTTGGCAGCAATATAGCAGCTTTGTAAGAGAGAGTTTTGAAGAAGAGCTGGAAAGAGGTAAACCAATGGGAAGAAAAGTTTCAGGACAGAAATGAGTAGATCACTTGCAGTAAAAGACAACAAATTGGAAATGTAGTGAGACCATGTAGCAATAATAAATTTAATTTCCAGATCTGGTTTAAATAATTGCAAATAATTCTTAGCATTCAGATGTTTGGAGGACTGCATGGGTGGGGATTTCCACATCAGAGTAATTCAAAGTGTAGACAAGTGTAGAATTTGCATTCAGTGCTCTATTTCCAGTCACTGTCTTTGTGGCAATTTCTGTGCGGTAAATTCCATCCTCAGCCGAACTCTGAATAGTAAGTGCAAATTCTATTTGACCCAAAGTCTGATTCAAGGTGGCAGAGGTAGCAGAAGTAGTGAGCAGGAGACAGAACGTCAGAATGGGAAATCAAAGGAATCACTCTCCAGCGGTGTCAGACAGGAACAGCACAGCAGCAGGTGCAGATAGATCATTTGTTTTTTTTCCCCCCGAGCCCACCTCAGTGACTGACGAGTGATCCCCCTGGCTGGTGGACACGGTGACGAGTCGTGCTGCAAAGAGCTTTTTCAGCCTCAGGTAGTCGTCCAGGACCACATTGAGCAGGGAACCCTGACAGGACGGCAGTTAGGATCAAACAGAGTCTATTACACAATCCACCTTAACACCTTAACAGCCTCTCTTTATGTCCTTGCGGTCTCCCTCTTTGTTTTCTTCTCATGACACACTGGAGGAGATCTTAGCTCCCATCCTCTGACCACCCAAAAGCATTTTGGGAAGCATGGAAGGAGAGAGTACATGACCTACGTAACAGAGGCTTTTGAGATTGGATGTGGATGTGTGCCTCCCTGGATGATCTATCACACAGGTGTCTCACCTTGATAGGCCCCTCCCTCATGATCTGGCCCAATTTAGCAATGTTGTCGTACTCCTGAATGGCTGCTCTCAAGTAACGATCATCGTCGGGCTTCGCTTGAGGCTCTCGACCAAATGTGCCCTGTGGAGAAGCCGCACACACACACAAACACACAAACACACAAACACACACATGCTTACTTAAATATTGATAATGATGACTACTCTTAACTTCTCAGCATTGAAATCTGGGGCAAAATAAGATCTGTTAAACTGAGTATCTTCTTATAAATGAACAACATGTTGGTACTGACATGGGTGCGTGCAGGGCTGTTCCACAGGTCAGTTATCTCACTCAGGTTCTCAGGCAGGTCGTCCTCATGGTCAGCCTGAGTGGTCAGCTCCAGGTTGCGACAGAATGGGTCCAGCCACACTGGATTTGCCCTGCAGAGGCAAACATTACACACAGCATCGACCAAATGCAAAAGTAGTATGGTAGGGTACAAAAAGAAGACAAATTTGATCTTGCCAGTTACCTGCTTTTCCAGTTTTTTTAAATGAAATTAGTGTTAAATGCTCTAAAGTTAAAACAGTAGTTTCACAGAATTATCTGATGAAGGAAATTTTAGGATTTTAGGAATAATGTGACATTTTGAGAATTATCCTTATTTGCTTTCTTTGCTGAGACTTGGATGAGAAGATTGATACCACTCACATGTCTGCATGCTAAATCAAGCTAGGGCAGGCTTGTCTTAGCTTAGCATAAAGCTCGCTATTTAACACGTTGCATCTTGTTTGGCTAATCCTTGCAAAAACCAAAATGTAAAAATTACACATTGTGAATTTATGAGGAGTGATGTTTCTGGCTGAGTGCAGTCACTTTGACACTTTCACAGTGAGTCTCTACTAAATGCATGGCAACCTCACGCGACAGTCCAAAATGTCAAAATAGTCCTTCAAGTTCACTGTTCACCCTGCTGCCTTCTGGGAAGAGATAAAGAAGTTTCTGCTGCCATACCACCAGACTGCAGAGCAGCTTTTCCCCACAAGTTATCAGACAAACTCAAATTCATCCTCAGCACTGCTCCACTGAATATAGTTTATTTCTGTTTACCATTTTTTTAATTGATTTATTATTAATATATGTTGTCTGCTAGGTAGCAGAAAGGGAGCTACAAACTGAATTTCACTCTATAACCTGTTGTATTATGACAAATAAACCGAAGCTTGTTCTTGATCTTCAGAAATGACTCATAACTACAGAAACAAATACTGAGGGATATTTTTCATAAGACTATACTTGCAGATTAACAACACAAAGTGATATTCGGTGGGAATTCCCTTTTTGTGTGGCAAATTGGTGTGTGAACGAAGCCATTATCTCACCCCTCAAATGAGTACTTGTTAGTGTTGGGCATGTCCAGGACATCCATTAGACCCTGGTTCCCTGGATGGTAGAGGACAGATAATTTTAAGAAAAACAGTAAACTGACAGTTTGCTGTTATATTGTATATTAACAGATGTTAAAACCACATCCTGACACTAACAGCTGTTGGGACCGTCCCCTCAACAGCGCCGCTTCTTACCTGTTGATCCTGCAACGATGGCTTTCAGCTTCCTCTGGTGTCTGGTAACACAGCACAAGGCAGAAGTCATAAAAAGGTAAACATGTTGATGTCGCTTCTTAGACTGACAGCATAAAAACATGGTCCATGACTAAGCATATTTCAAATGACTCACTACACTCAAAATTCAAAATATATCTATGTAATTACAAAATTATCTGTTAGAATGATGAAGGATTCTTACTCTCTGCGATAATGCCAGTTCACTGTGACAAACAAAACTCCTGCCAAGCACAGCAGCACAGCCAGGATAATGATGACTAGCTGTGGAAGAGAGAAAGACTGAGTTTAAAACCACCAAAGCACAAAACATCTGCCACTGTCTGTGGGTTTCTGGAGGTCCCAGCCTCGCAGACCTGTAGTGTGGTGATGTCGTCGGGCAGTTGGTCACTGACAGCGGGCTGAACGTCGACAACGTTGTATTTCCTGAACAGGTTTCTAAGTTGCTCCTTGTTCTCGTCGATCATCTGAATAACCCTGCAAAAGAATTAAACAGCAGGCCAAGGTAAACTCACATCAGAGCCATGCTACGCAGAGCTTATATATGTGAATGATACCAATGCTATCATGTAGCTTTGAAGTGAACAATTTACTTTATTTTGGAAGGTATACCTTTCTACATCTAGGATGGTGTTGGTCTGATTGTTGACAACGTGGATGAGCATGTCTGTCTGAGCATAATTCACCCTGCCCTTCTTGTCCACGTGGAACTGGATAAAAGGAGGTTGACATTTAGACGTTAGAAACAAATAATACAGAAGTTACGTTAAAAGCTTTAACATAGAAAAAAGCCCAACCTGTATGTCGTCTAAGTTGACAATGGCTCCAGTAATGTTTGACAGCAGTGTAATAAAATCTTCCTGGTTTTCGCGGACCCAATCGGGAATCTCATTGAAGACTATCTTGACCCTCTGGTCATCTCGGAGAATGTAGATATTCACATTTGTGGTTGTGCTGTGTCCAGCGAAATCGCATGCCAAAATCTCTAGCTGAAAGTAGCCTGGATTGTAGCCCGTGAAGAGGTCATATGTTCGGATGATACCGTCTGTCAAACCTGTGGAAACAATGGGATAAAATAATGTTTCTGAAAAAGACATTATTTTGACTCAATTGCATAACAAGCCATCTATCACGCTTTACATTTTTGTCATATCACTGGCCAGAAGTAAGTCCTTCACTGTCTAGGAGAACTGCAACAGTATGCACAGGAAGAAAGGGACTGGCTGCAGGAAGCAAATGCACGTCTGCAGGAAGTGTGAGACTCATGTCATGTCATATAACTGATTGTGAAATTAAAGGAGAAGTCTGGTGATATTGTATATTTTCTTTTTGTCAACAAATCCAAAGTAAAAAAACAAAACCAACAATTACTTATTAGTAACAAGTACTGCCTGTGTATTCAAAGCCTGATATATGTTATTCCTCTGGGTCACGAAGCTCCGCATCTAAAACAGATGAGAAACTATTGAGAGAAATGCAACATTTTGCACTGTGTATATTTCATGCTCCTAAAACACACTTGTGCAAGCTTATATTAAGTCCTTGTTGTAACAGGTAAAAAATCTATCCAACATTAAACACAAAGCATATAACAGGTAGATCTGGCCAGTATGTTGAACTAAACAGGCGGAAACAGCCTGAATATTGTACATACCGATGGTGAAGATGCTACCAACGTCCTCACTGCCATTGCTCTGTGACTGGAAGTAGCGGATTGTAACAATATGATACTGGACCAGGCTGTTGTTGCCGATGTCATTATCTATAGCCACAACCTTGATCAGCTCTGAGCCAACTTTGGCATTTGCAGCAACTCCTGAAACAAGGAAGCAAAGAGGGAAAGTTATGGTGGCTTAACGTAGACCAGCCTACACATACATGCAAGAACGCTGATTACCTGCTGTGTATTCCGCCTTAGTGAAGCGTGGTGTCTGGTCATTGATGTCTTCCAGTTCAATGTGGACTTCCAGCAGGCTTGGGTCGCGGGCAGGATCCAGGGCTTTGGCCCGTGCTGCTCTCTGTCCTCTTGGAGGAGTCCAGCTCCTGTTGCTGGAAGCCTTGATGATGATGGAGTAGACTGGGGTCTCCTCCCGGTCCAGATCCTTATACAACTTAAGCTCTCCATCTAGACTCAAGCCAAAGTTTCCATCACTGTTTCCTCCTGCAGGAAGAGATGGAAAAGATTTGTGTTCAGTCATCTTAAGCACTAAAGGAACCAACTTTAAATAGAAACGACAGACAGATGGAACTATGTACACAAATGTCCCCATTATTCCTAGAGAGGACTTTGATCTGACCACACAATGGATACAACAGCTTCCAGGCAAACTGCATGGATCTAAATGAGGAGAAACTTCTTATCCTCTACTCTTTATCTCCAGGACATTATTTTGGGTGGGTTCACTGGTAGGGAAACACTTAGCATTATATTTTTAACATGAACAGCCAAATCAAACAACATGTTGCTGTGTCTGTAGGACACTGGATCACCTGCAATAAAGTAGTAGACGATGGCATTGGAGCCCTCATCTGCATCCACAGCTCTGGTTATGTTCCCCACCACAGTACCTGGTGGGGAGTGCTCAGGCACTGTCAGCTTCTGGTAAGGCAAGCTGTCACGCTGAGGTGCACACACACACACACACACACACACACACAAACACACAAACCAAGGGAAAACGACAGTTAAGTAGCAGCTATGTACAGATAACCACATCAGGACATATTCAGGGAGCTTCATACTCACCGGTGGTTTGAGGAAGACGGGTTCATTGTCGTCAATGTCCAACAGCGCCACCTGTAGAGGCTGTGTGGTCTCATAAGGCACTGGCTGGCCCATGTCACGGGCCACAATGATAAGCTGAGAGAGTCGTTTGCACTCAGTTAGAGACATACCCACCTACACTTAACTGCACATGCTGCACACACATACACAACTGACTCACGCTGTAGAGGGCTTGTTTTTCTCGGTCCAGTTTCACAGTAGTGGTGATGACTCCAGACATGGCATTGATGCGGAAGTTTTCCCAGTCTCTGTTACCTGCTCCAGTCTGCAGGAAGGCATAACGGACCTCTCCATTCACCCCAGAGTCAGAGTCTGTCGCATGCACCTCATACACCGGCAGGCCTGGGGGCTGCTCCTACATGGAGGGAAAAGAGGGTAAGTGTATGGTATGTGCGTGTGAACGTTTGAAATTGTATCTCAAAGGTTAACTGCAAAAAATAAAGGTTTACAGGTTTACAGACAGTATTCTAGCCTCGTGGGAGCAGCGGAAACAAGCTGTAAACACAACACTGACATATTATCACCTTTTAATTTATATAGTGAACTTGGCAAACAGTTGCTGTTTTACACATCCAGTAGACATGGAGCCTATTATCATCTCATTGTAGTCAAGTTTGTGCTCTCCACCAACTCCTGAGAGAAGTATCTTGTTCTTTAGCACCTAAATGATCCACTGAGTCGACCAGCTAGTTGCTAACTTTCTCTGTCTGCTGTTTGGTGCTGAACTAAACTGCTGTGTGACTCTTTCTTTAATGTGGTTTGTGGTGAATAGTACAACTCGATGTCTATGAGTAATGTATGCTTACTAAAGCCACTATGTGTAAGGATCTGATATACAGTGTTGGTATCGCTCTGATACTGACCTCATGAAGCTGATTTGGTATCGGCCAGATGAGACTGATTCAAATTAATAACGATTTCATTGTCAATTTCCTTATAAAAATATACTGTTTCTAATTAAAGGCTTCATTCAACTAGTCACAGTGGGCCACTGGCTCATTTTCTTAGCACCATAGCACTCCTTGGTGTTGCATTTCTCTATGAGTCCCACATAGTGGGGTAGGTGTTGTACAGGCTGTGCATTTGAGTTAAAGAAAGCAATAGCATCCGGCTAGTACTCAGTACTGGCAGATCCCCACAATTTGTGGCAGGAATGCCAGGAGAGAAAAATTTGGATCGCTATCCTATAAATATAATATATCCTGTAAATTGTTTGTTTTTTATACAAACAAATATTCTATTTATAAATATAAAAAGAAGAAGAGTACACACATATGTACCAACAAGGACATGCATATTCAGACACATGAATGCAGATACCTCTAAAATATGAATGATGGTTCCGTTGGCCGGCCTGACAAACACTGGTCTGTTGTCGTTGACGTCTATGACCGTTATGATCAGGCTTGCAGTGCCCCATAGGGGAGGACGCCCCTGGTCTGTAGCCACCAGAGTGAGGTTGAAACGTTCAGAAGACTGAAGCAGACGGCGAGAGCGCACCAGCCCTGTGTTTGGATCCAGGGAGAATGCATCTAAAAAGACAGAGCAAGATCAGGGATTTGGTATAGGTAGCCCCATACATGAGCTCTCATGTTTGAGCAACATTGAGAAACATTCTTTAACTAAATAAATATGTAATACATAAGAACTACAAGAGAGATAGCTACTGGACACCACTGAGAAAGAAGAGATATTTAACGTTTTATTGTTATAAAGTGAGCTGCTGTACTTTCAAAGACCAGTTAATTCAGAATATTCAGTTAGGTGATCCTACTAAAGCTTATATTAGTCTACTCATACCTGAATTGAGTCCCAGCATTCTGTATAGTACAGCTCCATTTTGTCCTTCATCCAGGTCAATGGCCCTCACTGTGATCAGAGATGTTCCACTGGGCTCATTCTCAAACACGCTGATGTTGAACACTTGCTCAATGAAGCGTGGCTGATTATCGTTGACATCAAGAACTGTCACCAGGACCTGACATGCACCAACAGGCAGATGAAGCATGAGGGTGCTTTCAAACACAGAATGTTCCTGACACAAGGTTATATTCTGGAAAAGGTCATGTAGAGCCCGACCAATACATCAGGCATGGCCACTATCATCTGCATATTTTAGCTCATCACATATTGCTAACAGCGTGGATGTCAGCCAGTAAATAACAACCAAATTCTGGTACAGAAATGCAAAAGACATGTTTGAGGTAATTCAGAAACACTGTTATGTAGTTTGTTTACCAGAGAGCACTGGCAACTTTATTTTTCCTGCTCAGAGCAACTTGATTACAATAACCAAATTTAAGGATTCTTTAAAGTTAAGGTTAATTCAAGGGATGGTGTATGTCATGTTTTCTTTTACTTTTAAATATCTATATAGTTTTTGGGCCCTTATTCATTGTTATTTTCATGTTTATATAATTAAGTATTTGCTTGAATAAATTTATCAGAAAAATGTTCTTGTTTCTACACTCAAGTGTTGGTTTCATAGAACACATAGAAGTGTCATATTCTATATGTCACATTCAGGCTTCTCATTTGCATAAAAGTTTATTAACAGGTACTGTAGATGATATTTGGTGGGTGTTTATACAGTATGTACTAACACACTGTAGTGTAGATTATTAAATGGATACATGTTAAAACCTTCATTCATAAGAGATCCTCGTGTCATTACAGCCTGTGATCTCTACCTGAACAGAGTTCTCTCGTCTGTTGTTGGGGCTGCCGCCAGGGTTGTCACGGGCAACAGCAGTTAAAGTGTAGTGATCCTTTGTCTCTCTGTCCAGAGGAGAAAGGATGTAGATCTCTCCCTGACGCAGAGGAGAGGGAATGATTAGGAAGGAAGTGCAAGTGCTGACTGGGAGTGGTGGCCGATCAAGACATTTATTTGAGTGTGTGACAGAAATGGAGCTTAGAGGTCAAATATGTAGATTGTGTTTAGTACACCCAAATGCTTTGTTTAAATTTTCAATTCCAGGATGACGTTCAGTGTTGACACCCAGCTCAGAAAGGGATGTAGTGCGCAGTTGTGATGGCTGATTGAGCTGATGTGCTAGTGCATTGTTTAACTCACAGTGGATGTTTTGATGTCAAACTTGCCTTCCCCGTCTACCAGGCTGTACTCAATGACAGCAAAGAGGCCAGAGTCATCGTCTGTTGCTCTGACACGAAGTATGGTGGTGCCCAGGGTCACACTCTCAAACACAGGCTCCTATAAACACAGATGAAGCCATTCTTTGGCTCAGTTACACTGCAAGGATAAAATTACTATATGTTTTGATTTAATAGAAAAGTGGGTTGATAAAACAGATATATATGAAACTTAATTTGATAGATATGACTGAGATCTCATGTTGAGGTTACATACCAAAATGTTACTTAACTCAGTATTATACATGAATAAAACAATTTTAAACAGAATACTTTAAATTTACTAGCGACAGTAAGTGAATACCACACAAATAATGTGCTTTGTTAATACATTTCAAAATGTGGCCTTTAAGTAGCCACTTAATACTAAATAAATGTACTCTTATTGTTTTTTTAGGGCATTCTTCAATTCAGCTTTGGTTGGTGCAATTTGTTTCTTAATATTTTGTTCCATACCTGATATGAGGTTTGTAGGAAGACAGGGTTGTTGTCATTTACATCCACTATGCGCAGATAAACTGGCAGCTCGGACATCCTAGGAGGAGTGCCATGGTCCTGGGCCCGAATCGTGAAATTCAACCACTGTATCTGCTCGAAATCCACCGTCTGGTTAGCTACAATCTTACCTGAAAAATTTTACAGTTAAATTGATATGATAACAAGCAGGAAATGACATTGTAAGTAATACATAACTTGTGAGACTTTAGAAACTTTGAAAATGTCTTAAATTAAACAAAAATGTATGTATACATTGTTGGTGACCTTAAACATTTGCTCACTGCTGTTAATGTTTTAACGTGCAGCCAACAGCAGCTTGTTGAGGTGCGTTTGTGGTCATACCAGTGGAAGGGTCCTCCAGTCTAACGTATCCCCCTCGGGGCAGGTGGAGCAGCTGGTAGCTGACCTGGCCGTTGGGGCCTTTATCCGGGTCTACAGCTGATACTGATAGCAGTGTTGTACCTGGCTGAGCTCCTTCTAAAATCTTCTCTGTGAAGTTGGTTACTCCGAAGGGCCGGAAACGAGGAGCATTGTCATTTACATCCAACACGTTTATGGTTAGTCTCGCTATAGGAGGTTATAATGATGAGAGATACACAAGAAAAGAACATAGGGAATTGAATGTATAATACTGAAGATACGTTTCATGTTATTGTTATTAGTAAGTGGACTTACCGTTGGGAACACTGACTGACTTGTCAATAACATCACTGGCATTGTCATGAACAGACACAATGATCTCAAACGTAGCTACCAGCTCTCTGTTGAGCGGGTTGCGTACAAACACTGCACCTATAAATTCACCAAAACACATTATGATGACACTAATTATTTTCCCAAATATCAGACCCAATTTATTCAGTATATCTAACATCATGAGTCAAAATTAAACTTTGTAGATCAACATGCTGAATTTGGCTGAGATCCATGTCTCACCAGTGTGTAAATCTATGCCAAAAGACTGCTGCAGACCATCCACTGGGTTATTCCCATCATCCTTTGCCTCCACTGAGATGATGTAATACTCCAGCCGGGGATTAAGATCAGGGTCCTCAGCCGTCAGCGTGGCCACTACCACACCAGGCGGTGTGGACTCATTGACGTTTATCACGGTGATAGGCTCTATAAAACGGGGCCGTGAGTCATTTACATCATCCAGGATGACTGTCAGGGTGGCTGTGCCTGACATGGTGGGTGTGCCACGATCAGTTGCCATGACGACCAGGCGGTAGGATCCACGCTCTTCTCTATCGAGGGTGCTGTTGCCCACCAGGACAGCGCCGGAGAGCGAGTCAACCACGAAGCGGTCCTGAGCTCCGCTTTCCAGCCGATACATCAGCCAGCCATTAGAACCTGAATCGGCGTCGGTGGCGGACAGCTGGGTCACCACCACACCTGGAAGAGAGAAAGTAATGACAAGGACATAAACACACAAACATTTGTCATTGCCATTCCCAACATGTAAACCCTTAAACATCACACAGGGGGAATGCAATGAAACTAAGTGTAGATAATCACAGGAAGGAACTTTAAACTGTTAATTCAATTTGCTTGATTACATGCAAGTCATATTCCTCCCGGCCCCCTCATATACAGAGATCAGCAGGCACAAGTAAATCCACACACCCGTGGGGCTGTTCTCAGGGAGTCGTACACTGAAACTGGATGGGCTGAAGACAGGGGGGTTGTCATTCTGGTCCAAGATGGTAACTGTGAGAGGCACGCTGCTGTTTAAACCTCCTATGTCCTCCCCAACCAGGAACAGGTCCACTCGAGGGTCCTGAAAGGCCTCACGGTCCAACCTCGCCCCCTGACGCACAAGTATTACACCTAGAGGGACATGCAGCGACATTAACAATTGCAGAATTGCAACATAGCTATTTGCTGAGGAGCCATAATGTTACCAGTATTGGTATCCACAGTAAAGAGGTCCACCCTGGGTCCCAGCAGGCGGTACTTCACCACAGCATTGGGTCCAATGTCTTTATCCTCAGCCAGAACTGGCCCATTTAACATTGTCACAGTACTGCCTAAAGGACGGGCAGAGATAAAGAGAGGAACAGGTGGAGAAGCACAATGATCACAGTCAAGTTACAATTTTTTATCCTAAGTCTGCAGCTGTTGATGCTACAAATTCAGGGAGTTTGACTTGAGGGTCTTGGCAAATGCAAGGCTTGGCTTGCTTTCTATGATAACGGCCAAGAGACACTGGTAAAATGTGGCTGCCGCCACTCTGATAACACTAACTAAGACTCATATTTTACATACAAATAATCTAATTGAATGCTCCTGTGAGTTGATTACAGATTGGTCCATGTTGTTAACAGAATTAACAGGCCTTCTATCACACCTCTAACTTGTGATACTGTATGTAAACATAGTCAGGAAGCGGGGGAGACAGTGTTACAACCAGCGTTTCGGCATGATTCTTATAGCTGCAGTTACAGATTGCCTACACTAAAGAGTGAAGACAGACACACCAGCTTGAACGCTACCTGCTGCAGAGTTCTCTGTGATCTCAGCCCTGTAGCTGGTCCTGGTGAAAATAGGCCTGTTGTCATTCTCATCCAGAATGCTGATCACCAAGAGGTCTGAATCCTGGCGGTGAAGCAGGGGGATGAAGAAACAATTATATGAGCAAAGAACTGTGTGGTATAAACATGAGAAAAAATGTGAGGAGGAGAGAAAAATAAGTTAATCTGCCCTCAAAGAAGCACATTGTACAAAGCACTACAAGCATTACAAAGCACTGTACTGCTATGGAGAAGTCAGAATATACATGTTTTGCTGTTGTGCTGTGCACACACCAACTGGCTGCTTTCACAGTGATGGTGGTTAACTGTTCTGCAGCTCTGGCTTACAACTGTTTCTCACCTTTGCCACAGAGGCAACATTTCAAGCATGCCAAACCTTCTTTAGAGTTATTATATACACCATTTGTATTTATTCATGTTCATATTGAAACTGCAGTTTGGGTGGTTCTCATGCTTTAATAAATAAATAATTTTAATCAGCAAGATACAGGACATGTAGGCCCATAAAACCTAACCAAAAACTAAAATTGTACCTGAAGGCAGGACCTGTTGTCAGCCTACATCACAAAATGCAAGTATTGTAGATTTTTGTAATTTTCTGAATCAGCTTCTGGTGCAGAAAATCTATACGTTATGACACTTGGGCTGGTAAAATATTTTTGGGATGTACTTTGTCTTTGAATTGAAGTTGTTACATTTTCTTGCCATTTGTACAAAACTGAACTTCACTACTGAATTCAGGACTCCCTGCCGTTATGAATTCCTCAAAAGCTGACTTGAAAAGATACAAGGTTTTACGTCAGTAGTAGTGGTTTATGGTTTATGGTGTCCGTGGTGAAACTGGTAATGTGCACAGGAGATTGCAATTACCCTGCGAGCAATGCGGGGGTTCTCTGGGTTGTCTTTGACAGTGATGGTGAGTGTATACTCAGCCACTCGCTCTCTGTCTAGCGGCCTGTTCACCTGCACCACACCTGTCTGACAAATACAGAGAGGAAGAGGTAAGCCATGTGTATTTAGAGATTCATTCTTGATATGACAGTATACTTCACATATTACCTGTGTACACCCTAGTACTACTACAGCATATGTCTTCACCTTCCCTTCTCTAAAGGAGGTGAAGTATTTGTTTACTCAGTAATATATTTATGCTGTAAATCCACAAATGTGTGTGCTGCCAACATCTGCTGGTCTGTAAAAACATCTGTAGCATGGGTGTACAAGTATTAAGAGCCAACTCTAGGTGAAAGGGAGTTGGAACACCTGTCCCAAGTCAAGTTAAACTGACAGCCTAATGTGTGATTAAATCTGGGAGCTGCCAGTCACGATTCTCACACTCCAATGCTTCCCATTTTTGTTACCACCTGCTCCACCTTTACCACATCAGTGAGACAGATTCTTAAA